TTCTGATTTAGTACATCTAGCAGGGAGGAGAGAGGTAAAGCTTAGAGTCTAACAAGATCTTTTGTGCAGTTCCTCTCAGAGGGAGCCCACAGAACCCAACTGTGGGAGGGGTGAGCCCGTTGAACACTCATTTTATTGATCTCCCCCCTTCCCATCTATCCCTCCCCTTATCTGGCTTTGTGGGCTTACCCCCTAGATGAGCTATTGGCACCCAAATACTTGTCTGAGATCTGCTTTGGTCAAATCCCAATTCTGATAGCTGCTAAAGCCCCTTTCTTATCTGTAATTAGATAATTGGGGGGCATCTGAGAATCGTCATCAGTTTTAGAATAGATAAGGTCAACACAAGGGACCCTTGGGTTACCACGGCAGCTAGGGAGTTGAGCATGACTTTCCCTTCCTCCCTTCCAGATATTTATGAAAATATTCACAGAAAGAAGAGCGAAAATTTCCATAGGCATGAAAACCTGGCTTTTTGATCCACGATATTCAGGACCCTGGGAGGACTTCTCATTCACTGAGTGCGATCAGGCTCAGTCCTGCCCTCCTTCACTGAGTACCTCTTCCTCAGCCAGGAAGCATTAGTTATTACCAGTGCTGTTGAATTGCTTTGGATAAGGGAGCAAAGTTTAATTACTATTATTGTTATTGCTGCTGCTGTCAGTATTACTATGCAGCCTTGGAGGAGTCGGTGTTAGTCACTGTCATTGTCACTGTTGATGCCCTATATGAGGGTTCAGGAGCTTCAAGGAATCCTCAAATGCTATCAACTTTGATTTGAAGGGTACTTTAAGAATTCTCCATGCTTCTTTCCATAGAGACTATACTAGTTTGCTGTCCCACAAGTAGTGCAAAAGTGTTCCCTCTCTCCGCACCCAACCAGCACCTGCAGCTTTGGGATCCTGTGATGTGGGCCGTTCTTACTGAGGGTAGGTGATATCTCAGAGAGGTTTTGATTTGCCTTTCCTTGATGATTAGGGGCGATGAGTATTTTTTCATGTGTTTGTTGGCCCATTTGTCTGTCTTCTTCAGAGACGTTTCTGTCATGTCTCTTGCCCACTCATAAACGGGAATGTTTGCTCTTTCCTTTTTGATTAGTTTGAGTTCTCTATAGATTCTAGTTATCAGCTCTTTGTCAGAGTCATAGCATGTGAATATCTTCTCCCGTTCTGAAGGCTGTCTGTTTACTTTAGTTATCGTACCCTTAGCTGGGCAGAAGCTTTGTAGCTTGATCATGTCCCATTTATTTATTTTTGGTGTTGCCACAGTTTCCCAGGGGGTCTTCTTCATAAAATCTTTTCCTAGGTCTATTTTGTCAAGAGTTAGACCTTCCATTGGATCCCCCAATTCCATTACTAGGTATCTACCCGAAAGCAAAAAAAAGAAAAAATATATCATTTTGCCACAAGGACATTTGCATCAGAATCTCAACTCATAATCACCAAAATGTGGAAGCCATCCAAGTACCCATGAACCCAGGAATGCATTAATAAACTGTGGTTTCTGTACACCATGGAATACTATTCGGTCATAATAAAAGATGGAGACTTTACATGTTTTGTATTAACCTAGACGGAGTTGAAGAACATTCTCCTTAGTAAAATATCACAGGAATGGAACAGCAAGGAGCCAATGTCCTCAATACTAATATGAAACCAATATATAAACAATACATGCCCACATGAAAGAAAAAGGCAAGTATAATCTAGTGAGGGGAGGGGAGAAAAGAGAAGGGAAAAGGGGAGGAGAGTGATTGGCAGGGTCTCACTAATGTGCCCAAGGTGAGGGTGTTTAGCACACCCCCGGTGAAGCATGCAACTACAACTTGAACTTTACTTTAGAAATGAAAACAATGAAAACAACCTAAGCATGTGTACCCTCATAGCAATCTGAATTTTTTTTTATAGAATATTTTAAGTCTGTGAGAATCGGTGGGATTATAAAAAGGAAGATTGTTCTACTTGTGGATTGCTAAGAGAACAGGACCAGCTTCATGTGCTGGGAGCAGTGAAATGCAAGGGGACACCAAGGGGTGCTGTGGACAGTGGGGAGGGGAAGTGTGCAGAGAGGGAGGGGACAGTCAATGGCAGTGACCTCTCTGGAGGAGCAGGTGGGGGTGAAAGGGCAGGGTCAGGGGGCATCCTAGGATAGCCAGACACCCAGACAGTGACCAAGAAGAGAGAAATCAGCAGCAGACAATTCCAAGGGCTCTTTTGGGGAGTTTTGTTTCAATCAAGTCTTTATATTCTTTTCTACATTTTCTTTTTCTTTCTTTCTCCTTCCTTCCTTCCTTCCGGATGGATGCAAGTTGCATTGCTGCTGGGAGAAGCAGGCCTGGTGTATTGCGGGCTTGCTAAGCCACTCTGCCTTCCTGGAGTAGGGGCCTGCCGGGGACTCTAGCAGCTACTGGAAGGAGGGATGAGGGGGGGATGATTTTTAAATGTTGATACGAAAGTACAGTGGACCACAAGTGTTCACAAAAACATGACATTCCTTCTTCCCTATTTTAAACAAGAAGATTGAGTCTCAAGGAAGTAAAAAGAAGAAATCTGTAGTACACTGGGAGACTAACAGGGAAGATCCCTTGAACTCTTGAGTTTGAGACCAGCATGAGCAAGAGCAAGACCCCGTCTCTACTCAAAGTAGAAAAATCAGCCGGGCATTGTAGTGGGCACCTGTGGTCCCAGCTAGGGAGGTTGAGGCAGGAGGGTCACTTGAGCCAAAGTTTGAGATGGCTGTGAACTATGACATCATGGCACTCTACCCAGAGCTGCAGAGTGATCTGTCTTAAAATATATATATATATATATATGTCTATCCAATTTCACTTAATCCATTGAACACAGAACTGGAAACTGGGTTTAGTCTATCTCTCTTTGGAGTAAGCTTTCCACTCTGTAATATTTGGTAGAATTACTGAAAAATCTCTGTAGTCGCTCTGTAAATGACAATGCTGGATTCTACAAAGCCCGTTTCCAGGATTCAGCACTGGCCTCTCTCGGGATCACTTTTCAGGCGCGTGGACCCCAGATGGAGTCAAAGCCACCAAAGCAGTTGTCTCCTCCCAACACGAAGCAGGGAGCTAACCACTCTGGGTGGTGCCTGGGGTCAAGAAGAGGAAGTGTCCAGAAACTGGACAAGGCAGACTGCCGCCCGAGACACGGGGCCCTGCAGGTCCACTTAGGCGAGGCCTGCAGTAGTGACATGTGTGTCATCGTGCCCTCTGATACCCTGGTGGAGCAGTTGGGTTGGTGCTGTCAGCAGCCTTCTCCAGAGGGCAGGGAGCCTGTCATGGTGGGCAGAGAGACAGGGTGTAGGTCCAGGCAGGGCCACACAGTGGCTGAGCGGTGACCTGTGAGCATCTGTGGCACACACAGGAAGAGCGATGACCGGTCACGTGCAGACAGCAGTTTTGCAATCCTCGAATCTTGCCAAAGCCTACTCCCACACTGATTGGGACTGGAAATGTCACAGTTGTCGAGTCATGGGGAGATTGTGTGAGGACATAACAAAGCCAGAATTCTGACCACAGCAGAGAACCAACTGCCAAGCCACCTAGAGGAAGGTTAGATCCCAATGTGTGCTCATTGTCTTTGGAACAACGTGTCACTTCATACTCAAAACGTCTTGCCTCCTTGACTCTTCCCTGCAATTAGCTGTATTGAAGTGACAGTAGGGTCTGGGAAGAAGCCGTGAGGGAGACAGAGAGAAAGCAAGATTGCAAGCTGCTTACTTACAAGTTCAGCCCAGCAGACACAAGGAGGGCAAGGTGACTCCATGAAGGCAGAGCGGCTGAGCAAGCCCCCAATGCACCAGGCCTGCTTCTCCCAGCAGCAATGCAACTTCCATCCATCAGGAAAGAAATGAAGAAGGAAGGGAG